CGAAAATCCCGGAAGGATGAAATTACTACACTGTAAAAAGTTTCGTGTAAAAATCAACACGGAAAGTGGTCGATATACGACCACACGAGGAATGGTAGACTGTACCATATCCATTTTGGTAAAGTCTACCAAATCATCGTGGTAAAATTTTACCCCGTGTTGGTGTAGGTATTTTCACACGAAGATGTGTAAACTTTACACACAGTTTTCGTTAAATCACGGTCAAGGTAACCATTTGCGGTGTAGAAAGTGTGTAACCTTCCTTTTTTACCAAAAATCGACTGCACCAAAATTTCTCGGGAAAACACTTTTTCTTATTAATTTTGGTGCGTAGAATCCAAAACAATTCCTACTTTTTCGATCAGACTTCTCAATCAAAAGTTATAGACTAGAAACCAATTTCGAAAGAAAATTCAAAGGGCTGTAACTTTTGAACTAGAAGCCCAATCTTGGAACTGTTTGAAATTATGGATTCTACAGGCCACATTCTATAAGAAAATTTTTTTCCGGGTCGATCTGAGACCATTTTTTTTCGGGGCTCAAAAAAAGGCAGTGTATAACCTTCCTTTTTTACCAAAAATCGACTGCACCAAAATTTCTCGGGAAAACACTTTTTCTTATTAATTTTTGTGCGTAGAATCCAAAACAATTCGTACTTTTTCGATCAGACTTCTCAATCAAAAGTTATAGACTAGAAACCAATTTCGAAAGAAAATTCAAAGGGCTGTAACTATTGAACTAGTAGCCCAATCTTGGAACTGTTTGAAATTATGGATTCTACAGGCCACGTTCTATAAGAACATTTTTTTCCGGGTCGATCTGAGACAATTTTTTTCGGGCCTTAAAAAAAGGCAGTGTATAACCTTCCTTTTTTACCAAAAATCGACTACACCAAAATTTCTCGGGAAAACACTTTTTCTTATTAATTTTGGTGCGTAGAATCCAAAACAATTCGTACTTTTTCGATCAGACTTCTCAATCAAAAGTTATAGACTAGAAACCAATTTCGAAAAAAAATTCAAAGGGCTGTAACTTTTGAACTAGTACCCCAATCTTGGAACTGTTTGAAATTATGGATTCTACAGGCCACATTCTATAAGAAAATTTTTTTTCCGGGTCGATCTGAGACAATTTTTTTTCGGGCCTCATAAAAAGGCAGTGTACAACCTTACTTTTTTACCAAAAATAGACTGCACCAAAATTTCTCGGGAAAACCGCACTCCAGTGTTTCTTTTTTCTGAATATAGAGGACGGTGGAGAGAAGTGAGCGAAAACGTTTGCTACTAGAACTTTTTAAATAATAGTTATTTATGCATCAAGGGCATTAAGACAATATTTATGCCGAGGGCGACAGAGCCCGAGGGCCTCCGGCCCGAGGGATTGTAAGTCGCCCGAGGGTTAAATATTGAGTAATGCCCGAGGTGCATACAACATTTTATTTTTCATCGTTCCAAAGAATGCATTTCCAATATACAAATTCATGATTATTGTTTGCCCAACATTAAAGTGCTTCATACGAATCAAGTTGCATCTTTTTTATTACATAATATAACTCCGTCAATCAATTTGACAGGCCGTTTGAGGGCATAATGAGATGATAATCCATTATGCCCTCTCATTATGCCCTTGGGCGTAATAGACTGCTTCATATATCACATATGACAGATATAATTGACATATAATAGGCAAATGAAAAATAAACTAATTTATTTAAACAAATACGTATATATTAGTACCTACATATACATAGACAATATAAAACAACCGAAATACATATAACTAATTTATATATCTGTATATATAAACTAAATTCTATATTCTATACCTAAGGGCCAGCCCTAATACCATAACATCAACTAAACTGCACATTTTTTAAAAAGCAAGATTTTATGAACCTTCAATTAACTAAATAGGTGTATAATATTACCTTTATCCGCAACTACATCCCTCCGGAACAACAACCGACTGAAGTAATAATGGTGACTGACTCAAGTCGAGACAATTGCACAATATTGAGTCTATTTGCACAATCTGGTGTTAATCTAACGAAGAATCCGTGTATTCTTTACACTGACGAAAAAATTACACCACAGTGAGGACTTTTACAAGTTCTGGTGTAAGTCTTATAGAAATTCTACACAGTTGCGTTTTACCAATCGTCTCATAGTAAGAAGGTGTAAATCTTACCAGATTTCGTGTAGCATTATACACGAAAACAACATACACTTTGCATTTTCAACGTTACACCGAAAAACTTTTAACATTGTAACAAGGCAATTTCAGTAAGTTGTTCCACATTTTGTATGCGGCACTACTTCTTAAACGCATCGTACTGCTGCTCATATAGTTTTTTGGATTTCGGTGGTATCAATTCTTTACCTAATTTGGCTGCTTTTTATCAATGTCAAATACACTTTTGTCACCCACCACCAAATTTATGACACTAGCAACGACAGTTTCCAAGTTATTTTTGTTACCATAGCATAGGGATTGTCGTACCAACGCAACGTTCCTATGGTAACTTGTTAAACACAGATTTTTTGAAAGAACACGTCCTCTAACTCCATACATATTAAGTGTTTCAGTTTCGGAAGTACGAAAAATATCGTATATACCTTGCGACTGAAGTAGTGATCTTAATCCCTCGGGTAAACTTTACCTTCGGGATTAAAAGTACTACTTCAGTCCCGCGGTATATAATATACTATTTTGAGCAGTCTCTCCAACCTGAATGATTCACGAAATCTCTATTATCGACTCAGAACCCCTAAAAAATCTCCAAAATTTCAACTTCATAGAAATTGAAAAACAACGATTCCAAATTAATGCGACCGTTACAATATGGATCAAACGGAAGTGCGAAACACTTTGGAAGTCTTCCAACAGAAGAACACTTTCCCAATTTGAAAAGAAAACTGGAATTCTACCGGTCAACAATAATTCAACCTAATTCGAATAATAATTGCTATCATAATTAATCAAAAAGCTATGTGTAAAAATCCGACACAAGTGAATGTGAATAAATGGGACAGATTTGTTTTTGTGTCCGTTTTATAAATCGGTATGTGGCTCACGTTCCCTTCCGTTCGGACAACTTTAACAGTAGTTGTTCTACTTGAGGCAATCCGTTGGATTCCAAAGGCAACTGAGGTAATATAAAATTTTTAACGTACGATACTCGATTCATGGCAGTTACATCAAGACGTTAACTTGATAGTAATCAAAGATTTAAACCTTCTCCGGCACCTACACGCGAAAAGCACTTTAGTGCCAATAAATAATTCCCGAGGAAATCTCCAATGTACCAAAACTTCGTTATTGCCGATAAACGGTTTGATACCTAGGGCAATTTTTTTAAGAAAAAAGACTGGTTCCTAAACTAGAACAGATGAGCTACGATGTAATCATTCTGTTTTCCAACGTGGAGAAATTTCTCTGGCAAGAATCCAGAACCACAATAAACAATAAACGAGCAGAATCGGGGGCCATTTCGATTAATCACATAAGAACTTCCCACGTGAAAATAAAATGGAAAGTCATAATACTTTTATCTCATCCGCTTAAACGACTTTTAAGTGCCCGGTCGTGACTTTCTTCAACGTAAAAATGCCAGCCACTTGTCTCAATTTACATCTGTAGAAGAGATGAAGAGAAATTGCCTCGTATACACAAAACTAATTTAAGAATAACGTAAAATACGCTACGGAAATTGGAAGTATTTCATAAAAGTTTGCATTGCAAAAATAACCGGGAACGTATTTACCATTCAAAGTTTATACACAGAGAAAACAATCAACCCCTTGCATGATTTACGGCCGCTGCGTCTGTAAAGCGTAATTGAAATTTTGTTTTAGCATCTAGCGTCCGTAGAGCATCTATCGACAAACAAATGGGGGAACCGAAAATTAATATTTTCAAATTTATTACTTCTAATCCCGAACTGTGCATAAAGAAATCAAATAGTATAACGTAATTTCAATCCGGCGAAAAGCAGACAGACGATATTCAAATAAATGTGATTTGGACGAGCATTTATCATGTCAGATTTTAATTTTTTGGTGTAGGTCCTGAGAGCTTTCGTGCTAGAAGCTCGTAGATAGAGACAGAACGGCCGCAGGGGAGCGGTACATTTTTTTTTCATTTTTCTCGAACTGTAAAACGTGATCAATTAGATTCATTGAGATTTCTGACGTTTTTTAGATGCGATAAACAAACTTTTCAGATGAAATGAAACTGAGATTCATGATTCAATACCCGTTTTTATGTTTTGCGAAGAATCCTTTGTCTTTCCTTTGGTCTAAGTAGCTCCCAGCCGTCAAAGAACCATAGTCGTATTTTAGACACACCCCCATAACTCTAAATACCGTTTTTGGTAGATAACCTACACGTTAAGTTTGACGTTTTTAATACATGAGAGAGCTGAACTTAACGTGCAGGATATCTGTAGGAAACGTTATTTTTCCAGTACTAAATACCGCAATATAACAGTTGTGAGTTGGCAGATAACCTGCACGTCAAATTTGACGTTTCCGGTACTTCATAGGGCTGAATGCTTCACGAGCATCAGGGTAAGAAGAACTAGGGCATTAAATTATACACTATAGGAGCTATCACTTTTGGAGATCAAAACATGATCATATATTATTTATTATAATGGTGGCGGTGGTGGTGATTGATCTTTGAAGTTGTAGTGTACTTAACCCCTACAATAATCTCGAATAAGCAATAATAATGAGACTGTGTAATACAGCACATCAGTCACATACTCACAACATGATTTTAAAAAAAAAGGTTAAAAGGAAGTTGCAAAACAAAGAAATGGTTGGAGTACAAGCAGATAGATAACAAGGGGACCCGTACAACAGGTGACTCATATTTAATGGCATAAATCCCTGTTAGACCCTCGGTTTATTTGGAAAAAGTGCTTGTCTTGATCCCCTCTATCACCCAATTTTTTTTGACATGCGGTCATGTAACACCCTGTATACAGAGTGGAACCTCACATACCATGTTGATTAATTCATGTTGTTTTGTTACAGATGAAGCTGTGAAGATGAGAACCATATAGCTCAAGGTAAGGTTTTTATTATTTTTATACATGAGTAATCCATTTCAAACAGTATTTCCTTAAACCACGAAGAACAACCCAATATTCTTATAAGGGTTCCAACTTAAAGACAGTTCCACTTTAAATTGGGAAGCGCTAGCTTACTGAAATGACCGTATCTGGAGTAAAGCCAGAATTATAGCCGTTGCAATATTCCACGTTTTGATCTTTCATTAGAGTACCATGAAGCATAAAACTAGTTTCGCCCCTCCCCCAACAGTTCCTTTTGTTGAGACCCTTAAAGGTTGATTCTCACTATACATAACGTTTCCATACCATATCCTTTCCATAACCATTTCGTAAATTATTATACCTACGAAATTGACCTTTAAGTGATATGTGCGTAAGACATTCAGCCGCGCGCTAATACACATTCTCCTTTCCGTTCACATATGGAAGGCGAATGTGTATTAGCGCGCGACTGAATGTCTTACACACATATCACTTAAAGGTCAATTTCCTAGGTATAATAATTTACGGAATGGTTATGGAAAGGATATGGTATGGAAACGTTATGTGAAGTGAGAATCAACCTTAATATAGAATACCATGAAAGATAAAATCACTCACCTCCTCTCTCCACCCACTGATCTCGAAAATTGGTTGTTGCATGTAAAAGTTATGCACGTTTCACTTTCAAAAACAGCATCTCAAGAAATAATTCATGGGGGAAGGGGGGGAATTTGATGGCCGTTCGGCACACCCTCACGGTATAGGCTACTTATTGCAAAAAAATCCATGACTCGAGGACAATTCCCCTAAAAGTACTTCATAGTGGATCCGGACGGACGGACAGGCGTACGGATGGACGGAAAAAACGCAAAGAATAGCACATTTTTTTAATCCTTCAAAAATTCGTTGAAAGCTATTTTAGTTCATGGAAGGGAGGTCAACCCCCTTGCCCTTATATGCAACAAAATTTCAAACACAGAATAACAAAGCAAAAAGTCAGTGAATGATCATGACCCTTCCGTTTACCTGGGTGGTCAAATAACGGGCGATCAAAAATGAATTGCTCTCGAGTCGCCTTTGGAAGTTCAAGTTAAACGTACCATTTCCCATGTAAACAAAAATTTCAAAGATAACTCGACAGAAACTCATTTTTGATCGCACAGTAATGTGGCAGCAGGGAGAAATTCAAAATAATCCATCTTCTCAAAAGCACGTTTTGAAGCGGCCTTACTTTTTCAACCTCCTTAACTTTCAGCAATTTTTTTAAGAAAGCACCTAATCCTTGAAAAACGCCAGAACAGTAAATCTGCCAATACAAAAATTGATATTAAATTATAAATGGAATCAAGATTGAAACAAACTCAAACAGCCGCACGTGTGACTAACGACAACCTGTTCTTATCTATAAAACGATGCGCACAATGCGTAAATTATACAATTAGTTACCTGCAGTTTATCGTCGCGTCGGCAGGTTTTTAAATTTCGTGTTGTGATTCAGTGGTTGTAATGCCGTTTTTGGAATTTTAAATACGTGAGGTAAGTCATTTAGAAGGCTTTTTTTGAATTGTTTTACTATGGAGATGGAGATGCTTGCTTACAGCATACAGAAAAAGAATTGCTACCTACTACTTTTCCACAGTAGGATCTTCCATTTCTAGTTTTACATTAAAGTAATGCCAATTTTGAAAATAAATGCTTGATTAGTGGCTTCAAAATTCTAATTTATTACTGTAAGTAGACGAGATCCAAACAATGCAAAAGAGTGACGTTTGAAACACGGCTGCAAGTTTGCCAAAGGTTAAAAGCCAGTGATTGACATTATTAACCCAAAAGCACTTTTTAAAGCGGTCTTACTTTTGCAGCTCCTTAACTTTCAGCAGTTTTTTTAAGAAAGCACATAATCCTTGAAAAACGCCAGAACAGTAAATCGACGCAAATGCAAAAATTCTTGTTAAATTATAAATCCAATCAAGATTGAAGCAATCTCAAACCGCCGCACGTGTGACAAACGGCGCGGCGTTGCTTTACGATAACTTGTTCTTATCTATAAAACGATGCGCACAATGCGTAAATTGTACAATTAGTTACCTGCAGTTTATCGTCGCGTCGGCAGGTTTTTAAACTTCGTGTTGTGATTTAGTGGTTGTAACGCCTTTTTTGGTATTTTAAATACGTTTGGGTAAGTTATTTAGAAGTCTTTTTGAAATCTTTTGCTATGGAGATGGACATGCTTGCTTTCAGCATACAGGAAAATAATTGGCACCTACTCCTTCTCCACAGTAGGATGATATATCTCTTCCGTGAATAAACGTTCGTTTTGCATTAAAGAAATTCCAATTTTGAAAATATTGTCCCCAAAATGATCGTAAATTCATTGATTAGTGGATAAGTAGACGAGATTCAAACTGGCATTCGCGACTGGGGCTAGGAATCATGCCGTTTATTTCAAAATTGCGTACATGCAGTTTGCTTAACTAAAATTTGTCGTATGAGTGAAATGGACATTTGAACCTTCACATCTTGTTTAAACAAACCCGAAAACGTCATACTTTTGACATCGTGTCTACCACCACCAATGTTTAGTTATAATGACACTAAAAACTAAATTATCCCTTTAAAGTTAGAAAGAAATTTAGGTTTTACACTCGAATGTTGGCGTCTATAGTGAATTCTGGGCACATATGAGTATCATCAGAGCATCTTCAAGGTTCGAACCCGTTACTTAATATTTTTATTTTCGCCAAAAATCTCGCCCAAAATTAAGAAATTTAACGTTTCATACAAATCAATAATGGCGTCGACTTATACTCAAATCAAAGGTACCTGAAAAGAAATAAGAGCATTTATATATATGCGGTATGACCCTGGGTATGACGTTGTGGATTTTCATACTTGTACCGGAAATTATGCATTCTTTTGTACCATTTCTGGTACCTGTATGACAATGTTTTAGTTTTTGTAATGGAATTCGCGTCTACTGTGGTAATTTACATTTCTTTGCTGCGCTTCCTATTGCTAAGTCGATCCCATTATACAGGATGTCACATATAAGTATCTAAAAATAACTGGGGGAAGCGGGGATCAAAACAAGCACTTTTTCCAAATAAACCGAGGTGTTTCGTTTCGGGGAGTCATCTAATTTCGCATGCAGTTAGTTGAAAATGTCGTAAACAATAAAAAATTAACGATTTAAGTCGATATTATGATACCCTATTTCAAAAATTACTTGTTTTGATCCCCCCTACCATTCAATTTTTTTAAGCCCTTTGTATAATTCTTAATATTTTTTTATTTTTAAAATTCTTTAGATTCATGTGACCCCGTTTTATTATTCGATTCTTTGAATTTTTCATATTTTTCAAATTCATCAAATACATAATGTTCCTCTGGTCCTTAACACTATTCGAATTATTTTGATTTTCCAAATTCTCTCCAGGTGAATCCTAATATCCTTTCTCTAAATTCTTTCTATCCTTTCCTATTCAAATTCTTCGTCGAATTCTTTGGATTCTTGCACTTCTTCGAATTCATACGTTTTTTTTTTACATTCTAGGGACTATTAATTCAATCTTTTTGGAATCCTTAAAAGGTTCTAAAAAATTAACGGCCAATTTTCAAATAAGTTGTTTGAAAGGTGATTTTAGACAACTGTTCGACATTTTTTCCTCCTTAACTCATCAAGTATATACACAACAAATTTTCAGATTCAGATTCGTGATTTTCATGTTTAAAAGGAGAAATGCAAATTTCACCACTTTTTTGAGAGTGGGTCCGAAACGAAACACTTTGGACCCTCGGTTTATTTGGAAAAAGTACTTATTTTGATCCCCTCTACCACCCAATTTTTTTTACGCCTTTTGTATAATTCTTAATATTTTTTTATTTTTAAAATTCTTTAGATTCATGTGACCCCGTTTTATTATTCGATTCTTTGAATTTTTTCATATTTTTCAAATTCATCAAATACATCATGTTCCTCAGGTCCTTAACACTGTTCGAATTATTTTGATTTTCCAAATTCTCTCCAGGTGAATCCTAATATCCTTTCTCTAAATTCTTTCTATCCTTTCTTATTCAAATTCTTCGTCGAATTCTTTAGATTCTTGCACTTCTTCGAATTCATACGTTTTTTTTTACATTCTAGGGACTATTAATTCAATCTCTTTGGAATCCTTAAAAGGTTCTTCGAATGTTTCGCACTATTTGATTCTTCGCACTTATCGGGTCCTTCAGATTATTAAGTTACCTCAGATTTTTCCTTTTCGGATCTTGCTGATTATTTAAATTGTTAAGACTATTCTATCAACCCTTCTCAAGAAACAAAAATGCCAACGTAATAATTGCTTAAGTAAGTTTAGTTGCATTTGCAACGTGCTCTGTTGCACATAAGGGGGTAAAAATTGCATTCTTCAAACATAATTTTGACTTTTTAAAATTTCGACAAAAATAATTAAAAGACCAACCGGTTAGCTCTATATGAAATAATTACGTGGTATCTTTTCTATCCCCTAACTTTTCCTCAAATTGTTTCTTTAATTCCATGTTTTTCTCTTATCTACTACTAATTTTTTATAATGAGGAAATCAAAATTATTCTTAAATTTCCCTATTAGAAGCTTCTATTTTAAATTAATGAATTTCAACAGCTGAATTTCTATGGAAATTATTTGAAAATAACTTACTCACTTTATTAATAGATCCTTAAAGAAATACCATCTACACAAATTGGTATTCTTCCAATAATAACATAAAATTACTATGAAATTTTTTCTTAGAATTCTCTAGAATTTTTTAGAACCCTTCTTGAATTTGATAGAATTCCCGAACGCACATGCACGTGCAATTATTATTTTAGTCAATCTTCTAGAATTCTTTAGAATCTTTTTAGAATTCCTCTTACACTTGTACACTTGTAGCGATTTACTTCTCGGATATGGCATTGTTACAATGTAACAGGAATATAGGCCTAGATCAGATTTTTTTATTTAAACCATGTTTTATTAAAAATTGGGGCGGTTTAAAAGATCATTTCATTTTCCTGGGTTCTAGCAAAACTAGGCGAGCATAAAAAATACTCTGATACAACATTGGAAATCCCCGAATCTTATCAGTGTTTTCTAATGCCTTTCAAAGTATACTTGCAGTTTTCCAGAACTGCCTAAGTTGAGAGCGCCTGTAGAAGCCTTTGGGGTGCTTTATATTTCTCTGAAACACCCTAGAATTTAATGGCAAATTGAAAAGTGTATGAGTAATGGCCGTTTGCACCGACAAATTTAAGTAGAGCTTAGCTTAAGCGTAGCTTAAAATCCATGGCAACGATTATTGAGACAATGGTTGCCATGGATTTTAAGCTACGCTTAAGCTAAGCTCCACTTAAATTTGTCGGTGCAAACGGCCATTTAGGGAGATATTGCGTTGGGGTAAAAAATGACCACCCATTTTTTTAACGGAAATACATATTTATAAGCACCAGGAATTCGAATGAAACAAAATCTCGATGATGTCGATCCGCGGCATCCGCCGGTGGTATCTGCGCTAGCCCCAGTAAATTTTTTACCCAAAATGGTAATGAATCCTTCATTTTCATGGCTACTTTGTCAATAAATTTTAGTTTCCACGCTCGAAATGTTCCTCTGTTCCTCATATACAGTTATACTGCTTTAACCCAATTAAGTGGTGGCTTTCCATCATCCTGGCTGACTCCTTTTGGGTAATCACCAGTCAAAATTGAGACTACCGTCTGAAGTTAAACCGCTTCTTTCAAACCGATCTCCTTCTTCACTTACTATATTTATCATGCTTCTTGTATCTCTAACAGATATTCCGCCATCAATTTTCATTTGCAATTGGTCGGCTTTGGGAGCAGACAAACGGATTGGATTTTGTCAAAATCCTAAAATCGTTATTAGATGTTAATGGTAACGGATGATCAAAAATGAGTTGCATTCGAGTCGCCTTTGGAAATTGAAGTTAAGCACGATATCCCATGTATACAAAAATTCCAAAAGTAACTCGGCAGCAATTCATTTTGGATCACATATCTAATATTCATTTTTACTAAAAATGCGGTTCTTTAAAAAGTTAGTCTATGTATATAGTTTTTTTTACCCAAACATCGATCACGTCACTATTAGTGGTAAGAGGTTCGACATTTTGGGGTCTGGGAGGATTTTTGATCTTTGATATACAGGGTGAGTTTTTTTCGATGTTTAGTATGAGGATCTCGTAAACCGTAAGAGATACAAAGTCGCTTAAATGGGCAAACAATTGCCATAAGAAATACATTGTAAACTTCGAGGCAAAAATGCAAGATTGCATCCTAAATGAAGTACTAAGTGTTTAGCATCGCTGATATTGTAATTTTGTTCTCTATCTAATGACATAAAAGTCCTATATTACGTCCATAAGAAATAAGAAAGTTGACTCACTAAGCGATAAAAATTTTTAGAACCATCAGAAAGCTGAGAATTACTAAGGGTTTGTTAAAACTAATTTTTGATATCTTTGAAAATAAATAAACGTCAACGCATTTGTGAAAATGTCATTTTTCGTTTTTTTGACCATACTATATCAGAAAAAAAGCATGTTCGCGCCAGCACTGAAATATGTTGATTTTATCTCATCCTAGTACATGGACAAACTGGTCACGAAAAAGAAACTTTTCCGGTGTGGTTATCACCCCGTGACTCAAAACTGAATCGTGTTCTAGTTCCTGACTGGCGTACCACATCGCGGTCTCATCCTTAATCTCAACATTAAATTTTTACTATGCCTTAAAAATTTCTTCCTATTATCCCTCTCGTTATTTCTTCTAACTCATTAACGTTTACAAAATGGTGACTTATTAACATTTGTAATCGTTACTTCATTTGCTTAATTCCGGCTTTACGGATCAAATACTGTTCTTTTTTTCTATAATGCGAAATTTGCAGTTTCCACGCTGCTGATGTGACATCATGCCGATGCAACCAAATAGCCCTAATTAATATGACGGAATGCCATCTAAATTCTCGGTTTCAGATGCGCAAGTGTGAAAATTTCACGGAAATTCATCTTAAATTCTCGACGGACCACTCTGTAGTTTAATATGCACATGTTCTATGATTTATTTTTTAAATTAGATTTATCTAAAGATCTAAGTTGTTCATTTGCCCCTAAGAGATATCGATTTTTGTATACAAGTTATTACTCCCCGAAGTGATAATCGAATACCTCGTTTATTAATTTTTGTTCTTTTGTTACAGATGAAGCTGTGAAGATGATAACTACATAACGCAAGGTAGGGTTTTTACTATTTTTTCGCATGAGTATTTGCTATACGCTAGAAATTCACAGCTTGCTTGTGCTATAATTAAATAAGCTAAGCTTCATACTTTTTTAGCGATATCCTAGACAAGCATGATAAAAAAAGGTGTTTTACCTATATACGTGCTTTGAGTACTTTTTTTTACCGCAATGAGAAACTAGAAAAACGACACCATTATCAAAATAACAATAAATTTTAAATTGTCTAGAAGGTAATTTTATTCCTACTAGTTCAATTATAACAAACAGGCCAAAATTCTGACTTGGCTCCTGAAACCATTCTTTCAGCTTTCCGAATTTAAGTTTCCCAGTATAAGTTAGACATGTGCTTCTTCTACTTACATATGGAAGAGGTAAAGTATGGAGCAGTTTTAAATAAAATGTCTTGCTTTCTACGGTAACGGGATTAATAATCACAGTATTGGTCACTTGACCGGTTGAATTAACGGTTTTTGTACTCCGCGGACTAAATCAACGTGTTTTGTCTTTCATTTAAGGGACTGAAGTGTCCCTATTTTGAAACATTGAACGATTTAAAACCCAAAAATCAAAAATATCAATTATGTAATATTTCGCCATATTTGCGAAACTTTAGTTAGGGTGTCAATTTTGTTTTTTGATTTTATTTAGACATAACTTGAGGATCATCTTTGTCCAACTCTTTATCTATGTTAATTAAGCGAAATCTCTGTACTTAACACGAAATTTGATACAACCTATGTATATTCGCCACCGGAAGATTCGCAAGCAGAAATGTCTTTTTTCGTTTACTTTTTTCGTACGCAGACAATCACTCTGTGCCGTGTTTTTGTTGAAAATTCCTTCTTAAATTCTAATTTGTTCCTGCAAAAGACCTGGAATTTTCGTTTTAAGGGAACCTAAATTGTGCGCTAACGGTTTTAGAGTTATAGTTACCTCCAGACAATAAAACAACAGAAGGGGGAGAGGAAAATTTTTTTGAATTAATAAATGATGGTGCCGAGTATGAAAGTTTGAGAACCGCTAACCTGTTTAATCTCTGCCTTTCCTTATATATTCTTATTTTCCTAACGAAAAGTAGCTTGTATTAATAATCTGTAATTTCCGCATAAGCTCACCTTAACGTAAGGAGATTAAGGTATAAGAGACTAATCGAAATAAAGCAACGATGCCCTCGAGGCACGGCTTTCAGAAAAGCAAGAGTCGAACGGAAAAATAAAATACGGAATTAGCAACTTATTTCGTCCCACTCTTCATCCTAACAATATGCCCGGAAACATGGGAAGATTTAATTAAATTACTAAACATGGCTCGTGTGGTTCTTGGTGGTAGTTGTTTGTGCACACGCCGCCGTGTGTTGTTTAATTTATGTTCTTCGAGTTGGGTTTATTTAATTTAATCAAAGTTCTTCCCTTCCCGAAGAAGCGCATAATCACTCAATTAAAATTGTGCTGCACTTATTCCCCTGAATTATAGCTCATATTGGATAAAAGCGAGCAGCTACATTTAAACGAAAGTTACACAATGAATATTAAATACCTATTACCGAGCACTGAGAATTTACATTTCGCCAAGAAGTTATCTTACCGGGTATTTGCGTAAAAGTATTCCTTCGGATTGTGTAAAGTTATTTAATTTTAAAACTTGGAAGTGTTCACGTTACGGAAGCACAAAGCTAAAATTATTCAAACGTTTACATACCTCGCTTATGCCTTCGAATTTCGAAGCAATCCCCCCCGACCAAACTCCCTTATTAAAAAATATTAACAGAAAAGTTTTAGGGAATTGTTCCAACGCGGAATACAGATTTCGGTTTCTTATTAAATCGCATTGTTTTAAGATTTTATCGCTTTTTGTTTTTTCGAAGACCTTCTGTTTTTATTGTTTCGAAATTTCGTTCTTCGGTAGCGGAGCTTGCACGTAGGTGGAAGTTAATGAGCTCGCTAATTAGGGATCAGAAATTGAGCTTTGTTATTATAATGAAAAGAGAAGTTGACTGCACACTTTCTGTATCCATATAAAAAGCAACTTCTATTACCAAAGTGCAAAGAATAGAATAGTGAGACAATTTCATGCACATTTTGGAAAAACAGCAGGTCATATCTACATTTCTGGAAGACGGTTAATAATTATAATAGAAAACCAACAAATAGAGGCCAAGAACATAAGTAATTCACTAACCATTATCAACTGCATGTTTTTGACCGGACAAATAGTACATACTGTATTGAGTGATGTATGGCACACAATTTTATTAGGTATGTCATTTAAAGGGACCATCAATTAATTATTTTAACATTTCATCAACTCTGACTACACCAAAGTGTTACAAATTTAATAACAAGCCTTTTTTCTGACTTCTGAACGTTTTGGTGTAGGCGTTGACAAAATATTAAAATAATTCATTGGTGCTTCTTTTAAATGACATAATATTGTGCCTTATATCGCTGTACTTCTACAAAAATTGCTAGTCCATACAGTATGTACTTTTTTCCTGTACATATGAAAATATTTCAAACATTGTCGTTTTTTTCCTTCGAATAGCTTCGGAATTGATCGGAATTTCCAAATTTTGAAAACACCATTCACAAGCTCTAGAATACGTAACTGTTTAGTTTTCGATTTCTCCATGTTTTTCATTCTTATCTTGGACACACTGTATACTCTCAGTCTGAGATGAGGAGGGCTACTGTGAGCATTCTAGGTAAGGGATACAAACTTCGTTAATTGGCAGAAAAGTTGCGTGTAAGAAGAAATCCCTGATAAATCTTTTTATTTTTAAAATACTTTCAAAGAAAACTCTTATTTTTCTTTTACGAACTATTTTTTTATGGCGTTAATATTTGACCTAAATTAAAACCAATTCCAGAAACTGTTATAATGTGCTTTAACGCGGACTTTTTTGGGGTTTAAGTAAATTCTTATTACGCACCTGTACAACAATTTGTTCTTAAATAATTACGTATTTAATAGCAATAGACGAGGGAAATAGGGAAAACAGTTCTAAATTTTTGCAAACACTTTGTATCATAACGTAGTTTTCGGCGAAGTGTTCAGAAAAGTACGTAGAAAGATGCTTACTGGTTGAGTGGTTCCAAAAAGCATTTATTTTTGCATAAACATTACAAACATAGATGGAAGGCCGGAAAAATCGCTTACTAGGGGATTTTCGTGGTCGCAGAATCCATTTCTGCTCTCGAAATTCCCCGGGAATGCCCAGGGTTGACAACCATAGAGAGCGGGGGTGTAACTTTTCTGTAAGAAATGTCAATATCTCGAGTAGTGATTTTCGAAATTTTTCTGGCACAATGCATTTTTAACTATTGCACCACCGTAGTGCCAACCCTAAGCAGCCCTGGGAAATTTCGAGGGTAGATATTGACTCTGCGCTCCCAAAAGCACCCAAGCAACGATTGCTAAGGGATTTTTCCAGCTTTTAATATATGTTTACAATTTTGCAAATAATGATGCAATAATAAATACATTTTGCATCCCTTAATCAACTCAACCAGTATTGTACAATATTTTTCTTCGTTTTTTCTGAACATTATGCCGAAAACCGCATTTCGATACGAACTTTCGTGCAAAATCGTTCTAATTGATACAACAATTTTTTTATATAGAAAAAATAAAAAGGAACAATGAAATGAAACTAACAGAAGATATAAGAATTAAAATACAACAAGAAACGAATTTGAATTAATTAAATTTAGAACATAATAATTGTTTGAAAAGATTTCCATTTTTTCTAACACTCTAGTAAGCATTTGTGGAGGAAATGCTTCCAGAACTAACCCCCTCAGTCCTTCTTCCGTTGTAAAATCTTTGCTGATAAACACCTTTCTTAACGAACACATATACGATAAAATCAAGCGGGGTTATATGTGTGTTAATCTCTAAAAGATATTCCCGAGCGGTTCTAGAATTATGTGCAGGTGCACCATCCTGCTGTATCCAACAGTTGCGAACTTTCACTAGGGGCATGTTATCAAGAGGATCCTCTAAATTGTTTTGCAATAAATGTGCGAGTAAGTAACGCCTTAATGTTAAAGTTGAAAGGGTCTTTATCTTGAACCCAAATTTTTAAAATTCGGATCTAAAGCTATACCAAAATAACATGAATTATTGTTTGCCGTCGGCTAGCTTATTTTTAACTTTTTTCGTTGCCTTACTGTAGAGTTTTCCCTTTGCTTCTCTGAAACTCACTACAAAATTTTCCAACTCTTTTCGTCAAATTTGACATAGTACACATACACAGTTTACGCACAATAGAGACTTCAATGGTAATTTCTTTATATCGAAACATTTTCTCCCCTAATTAATTTAGAGCAATGTTGTAAATAGGTTTTTTGTAACTTAAAAAATTCTGCGTTTGCTAAGGGATTTCTCCAGCTTTTCATATATGTCATTTATAATTTTTCAATTATAGGAAAACCGAAAAATTCAATAAATTATAATTTAGCAATTGCTTTGTAATTTTGTAGGACGAATTTTTGTTTCAATAATTTCACGGCAAGAGTGATTTTTACTAAAATGTTAATTTATAATTTCGGTAATTTTTTCGATGTTCCACAACAAAACTTTGCTGTAAAATAATTAGAGAAGATAATATTTCAATGTAATGAAATTGCCATTGAAATGGGTAAACCAATTCTACAGCTACACCCTGAGCTACACCCTGTATATAGATATAGCCTAAACCAATTTTAATTGACGTTTTTGTGAGACAAACTCACCAATAAATGAACCCTTGTAATTCAAAATTTCTAAAGGCTAAAGGCTCTAAAAACTTTTAACATATCACCCCTTACAATTGGATGACATGAAACCTATGCCGTAGTTTTGTGCTGATTTGTGCGCCAATCCCCAAGTTTTGTGCACCTTTCGTTTGGGAGAAAAATTTTCCGTTGGATTTTATCGTTCCTTTAGGAGCCACGACGCATTAAAAAAGGTTAACTCAGTTTTTTAGAAAAGTTGGAAAAAGTGGGTGTTTTT